CCTAAGCTAACTTTGTTGGACTTAGAAATAAATTGGACTCACAAACTTGCTCTCAGAATGGAACTTGTTCATATGTAGGGGACTTACTCTCTCAAGGGTTTTTTTTTTCTTTCTTTTTGGCTGCACTGTGGGGCACATGGAACTTGCCCAATCGAGGATCGAACACGTGCCCCCTGCAGTGGAAGCTCAGAGTCGTAAACACCGAATTACCAGGGAAGTCCCCAGAGAGCCTTGTGAAGATGTCAGAAGTTTTAAGAAGAGGAGGCTTGAGAAGAGTGTGAGAAAAACTGAACATCTATTTTCTGAAAAAAGAATAAGCAAACAAAACAAACAAAACCGATCAAGCCCCACCCCTAACTCCTCCCTTCCTGGCTGGCTTCTCCAGGTAGCTCTCTCTTGTCCTGGCACCTATGAGACGGAAAAGTGCTGCAATGAACATTGGAGTACATGTGTCTTTTTCAATTATGATTTCCTCAGGGCACATGCCCAGAACTGGAGTGGTTGTGTCATATGGTCATTTTAGCCCTAGGTTTTTAAGGAATCTCCACACTGTTCTCCATAGTGACTGTGCCAATTTGCATTCCCACCGACAGTGCAAGAGGGTTCCCTTTTCTCCACACCCTCTCCAGCAGTTATTGTTTACCAACATGGATTTTTACGCTTAAAACAATCCACGACCATCCTCTGATCATTCCAAGGGGAAAATAGACCTTTCCGCTGGCTGACACCCCTTCCTCTGTGCCCCAACACCTCCGTGTCAAGGACTGTGCCCATCACTGAATTGGCTGGAAACAGGTGAAGATGGTCCAGTTAGAAGGGGCTGCACAGGGCTCCCAACACAGATCTGTATCCTAGATCTCTCCTAAACCCCGCATCAGGCCCCAAGTAAGCTCAGGAAGTAAGTCCAGCCTGTGTCTGGAGCCTTTGTGCAGGTCAGAAAAGGACACATAAGGGGAGACCAGGGTTTTCCTTTCCCTTGCTGATTTCTGACAAGCTAGACTGTCTGGGAAAGTTTGCACGAAGGCCAAGTCTATGGCTAAACTCGGAGCTCCTCACGTTCCAGGACTATCATTCCTGACCCTTTTCTTGGACAGTAAATAACTCTTGGCTTTGACAAACCAGCCCTGGTAACACGTTGGTGATGGCTGTGGGTGCAGCAGAGTCTGGGTGTCTCCACGCAGAGCCTGGTGCTCTGAGCCTAGTCTCACCCTCTGGACTCCTGTTTCCTCGTTGCAAAGATGGCGGTGACTGTGGCCCTGAGGGCGACCAGGGCCGGGGTCAGATGTCTTACAGTGAATCCTGTGGTGCTCCACCAAGGCTCCAATACAGGGGAGACGCAGCCCCGCAGCTGCCAGGAATATCAATGGTGATGACTCACAGCTTGTCCCTCAGAGGCCAGCCCCTCACCCGGAAAGGCGCTGGATCACCCAAGGTTACTGCCACTTTCAGGAGGTGGCTGATGCTGGGATACGAGTGCCCATCCTTTTCTTAACCTGGGACACGCGGGCTTTGGGGCTTCTTAAAATATCAGGTGAGGACTCAGTCATACCTGCCTTAGGGGTCAGCTTCTCCCACTCCTCAACCATGTCATACTCACTTACTCACAGGCAGGAGAATGTCCTGCGCTCGCCTCAACAAAACTACTGCCTGCAGCTCTCCCACCCAGGACACTCAGACTAAGTGGCTTTCCAGGAGGGTGGGAGGGAGGCTCCCGAGGGAGGGGCTGTACACGTACATGTAGCTGATTCCTGTTGTACAGAAGAGACCAGGGCAACATTGTCAAGCAATTATTCTCCAATTTAGAAATTTTACAAGGAACTAAAAAAAGACACGTGGTATTAACATCACCCCAGAAAAATGACTCCTTTTGTAGTTAGAAGGAAAATTTTTTTCAGATGTGTATCTTTGATATTTATTTCCCTTTCTGGAAGCTATAGGGCTTCCCGGGTGGCTAAGTGGTAATCTGCCTGCCAATGCAGGAGATGCAAGAGATGTGGGTTTGACCCCTGGGTCGGGAAGATCCCCTGGAGGAGGGCGTGGCAACCCACTCCAGTATTCTCGCCTGGAGAATCCCATGGACAGAGGAGCCTGGCAGGCTACAGTCCATGGGGTCGCACAGAGTTGGACACGGCCGGAGGACTGAGCGCGCACGCACTGGAAGCTGTGGCTTTCCTACGGAGGCCTGGGGAGGGCCAGTGCGACCTCTGGGGACGACATTCCAGTGACTCTAAAAATCTGTACATAAAGTTAACTTAAAAGACAGATTGAAAAGGAATTCCAAATTCCACAGACTTGCTAACGTGAGATGCTAGAAGACGGGTGTGAGATTAGCAGAGTTTTGAAGGAAAGTTAGGAAAGTGACAGGCAAGGGGACATGGGGAACTATAGAGGGGAGAGATTTTTCTCTAATTTCCTGGATTACTTTTAATGGTCAAAAAAAATCCACATCTGTTCATTTACTGCAAGAGTTCTTGTAATTTGAGAGCCTTTCAGGAGAGGGGAGGATGGCTGTGGATTTATAGAGTTAAATCTCATGACATGAACATGCAATGGGAGGCCCCACCTGTGTGTACAATGTACTTAAAGGATTAGAGCAAACTTTGGAATTATGATATGTTTTACCTGGAGCAAGTACCTTACTCTTTAAGCTGCTATTTCCTTGAAGGAGGTGGGAGGAAAGAAAACCATGAATTCTCTCAGGTACTCAGGTGCATAAGACTCTGCTTGTGGGATTTAATGAAGATTTAAATGCAGGTGGATAAAAGATGCATTATTGATATATTTTATTTTAAATCTATTTTCAATACTTGTGATTCCAGTTTCAAGGTGTTGCTTGCCTGTGCCCTGAATGAAGACGACATTTTCAGGGCAATACAGAGGCCAGGGGGCCAGGGAAGCACTCGTCTTCTAAGGGGCTAGTGGGGGTAGAAAGGGGAATTTTTTATTTTTTCTGTCTTGGGTTAAAACTCTATGTGCTCTTTTTTAATGTGAAATTTAAAAACTTTTTTTTTTTAACTGGAATATAGTTGCTTTAAAATGTTGTGTTAAGGACTTCCCTGGTGACTCGGTGGTAGAGAATCCCCTTTAGGAGACACTGGTTCGATCCCTGGTGTGGGAAGATCCCACAGGCTGTGGAGCACCACACAGCTCTATGGCCCGGGAGCCACGCCTTCGGAGCCCGTGTGCCGCAACTACTGACGCTGGCTCACCCCGGAGCCTGTGTTCCGCAGCAGGAGAAGCCAGCACAGTGAGAACCTCAGACACCGTAACTAGAAAGTAGCCCTTCCTTGCTGCAGCTTGAGAAAAGCCTGAGGACCAAGACAGACCCAGCACAGCCCCCACCCCCAAAGACGCCGTGTTAGTCTCAGATGCACAGCAAAGTCACCCAGATATACGTATGCATACGTCCCCTCCTCTTTGGATTTCCCTTCCATTTAGGTCACCACAGAGCACTGGGGAGAGTTCCCTGTGCTATCCGGTAGGTTCTCACTAGTTCACTACTTTATACATTTGTTGCTGCTGTTCAGTCGCTTAGCATTGTCCAACTCTTTGCGACTCCGTGGACTGCAGCATGCCAGGCTTCCCTGTCCTTTACTATTTCCCCAAGTGTGCTCAAACTCATGTCCACTGAATCGGTGAGGCCAATCAGACACATACGAGCATATATACGCCAATGAATTTCAAAAGAAGTGTTGCTTCTTTGGAAGTGGCCCCCATGTTCCCTTCAGGGTCTTCAAGAAATACAAGTAAATACTCAACATTCTCAATTTTTCCAAAGGTATCCCTGGGCTAAAGGAGGTGATTATTAAAATGAGCAGACATTTCTTTCCCTTCCAGGTGATTAAACAATAACTGTTGTTGTTATTGTTGCTGTTTAGCTGCTAAGCTATGTCCCACTCTTTTGCGACCCCATGGACTGTAGCCCCCCAGGTTCCTCTGTCCATGGGATTTCCCAGGCAAGAATACCGCAGTGGGTTGCCATTTCCTCCTCCAGAGGATCCTCCCAACCCAGGGATCAAATCCACATCTCCTGCATTGACAGATGGATTCTTTACCAGTGAGCCACCAGGAAAGCATGTAATAGAGGGTAAAACATTTATAAAAGAATGACCATCCTCTGCTATTCACTAAACTACTAATTTCCATTATTTATTCTCCATAGATTAGTCAGGCAGGTGGAGGGTGGGAGAACAGGGTAACGAGAAAGACAAAAATTCAGTAGATGCAGTCTTTAGGAAGCAGAAAACCACACAGAGATATGTCTAAAAATGACACAGTACTTTATTTTAAAAACACTCAGGTGTTACAAAAAAATACATAGAAAAATAAAGTTTGATCGGGGTATTTGGCTAAACTTTGACTCACAGATTTGTGTATTAACAGATTAGAGCAGAGTTTGTTATACACATGGAGAACATAAACTTTTATTAAATAGGATAGACACAGGTCTGGGTCTGGGGTGCACCCTCCAGTGTACCCATCAGGAACGGATCTATTAGCTCTTCAAATGTTGTTCTACCAGTTTGGCTATGGTTGAGTGACTATGGGGGAAAAACAAGATGGATTCACCAAACCAAATCATTCTAAACAAAGACTTTTTTTTTCCTTTTTGCAACACAATGTACATCACAGTACAATGTCTAACACTTGCAGGTTTGGGGGCTGAAAGAATTCAATGCAGAGGGAGGCAGAGAAAGGGTTCTGACCACAGAGCGAGCATTGAACGCTTATCTTAGGACATGTGAGTAGGAGAAAGCCCTGCCTCTGTGCTTCCATTTCTGTGCAGGCAACACGTGGCATTGGACAGTATTTCAGTGTGGAGCTCAAATGATATAAAATGGGGTGAAATGAACCAACCTTCTATCAACTTTGGCAGTTTTGCCACAAACAGTAAATTAGACCTTTTTAATAGGAGGAAATTGAAAGGTTTCTCACTGAACAAAATTAAGTAGCGGGATCAATAGATTTCCAGGGCCTGGGGTACCTCATTAGTAACTGACTTTTTTTTCATGCTGATGTCGCCCATCTCCCAGGTCACCTGAGATAACAGAATAAACATGGCCAGAGTTTTCCTGTGCCCTCTTCTCATTCTCTCTGAGGTCACCAGGTAACTCACTTGGGGGGAACCTCCACTTTTTTGATAAGCATTAAACACAGTTCCTGAAACATCTGGACAGTTTCATTGTTTGGTGATGAAAGCTACTATAATGTGTTCTGAAAACGGTTTCCTTTTTTTCTTAGCCTCTTCCAGCAAAGGGCCATCACGCGCGGCAGCTTGCTCATGGGCGGGGCTTCCTAAGGCCCACGCCCCCTTCCTCCACACCCCGCCCCTCAGCCCCGGATTCCCACCAGACGGCTCCCTGGCACCTGACCCTTCACTCTGCCCTGTTCTTCCTTACGTGTGAAAGCTCACTACCTTTTACCTCCTCTGCCTGCAGGGATCCCAGAGGGTTTTGGCTTTGAATTGTAACAGCAGAGCCGCCAGAAAGTCCTATAAAAGCAGCAGTGACCTTCTGCAGCTGTCATGTCTTTAAATAGATTTGGGATTTAATGCTGTATATTTTTAAAGAAAAGACATAAGAATTGTTAGGTTTTTTTTAAAAAATGCATGTCTTTTAGCCAATTCAGAATCTGCTCCCCCACTATTTTTTTTTTAAACCCAGGAAGAGATAAAGCTTTGGTGGGGGGTGGGGGTGCGGGTGGGGGAGACCAGATCTCGAGGCTAAATAAGGAAGGTATATGTTAGGTGCAGTCATAAAAGTATGGGCTGAAAAAAAGTGCTTCAGTGGGTGACTGCCATGGAAAAGGAACAAAAAATAAAAGCAGGAGGGAAGGAAGGAACTTAAAGAATTATGTGATCTGTCCCACTGTAGTATAAATTATAGCCCCCAAACTCCAGGAACCTTCTTATTCTGAATTCTCAAGCCCAGAACAAAAGGTCCAGAAGAAGGTTTTTTTTTTTTTTTTTTTTACCTGTTGCTAAGGACTCCTCCTTGGACCACTGTCGTGGATATGCGGAGAGTCTCCTGGCCTGGGCTCACCTCCTGCAATAGAGTTTCGTTTTTACAGCTTGTCTTAAGGCCATAATGAGTGCTTCTTGTTCTGCACGGGCCACTCTGTAAATACTTAAGTTGGCATATTATTTTAAAAGGAATAATCAGAAGCTTCTGTTTTCATCTCCTCCTTCCCATCTCCATATCCTGTGCCAACTTGTGCTGGGCACGAAAGGTTTCTCTGTGAGGTCCTCTGTTTCCGTCTGTTCCAGAGACAAAGAGAAACCTTGGCTGTGGTCCAAGGCCAGTGAGAGGCTCTTGACCTTCAGTTTATTTCAGTAGGTGACATCCTGAGCCATCCACCCCCTCCCCCTCTGGTGGGCTCCTTCTGAGTGGATGCTCAGTTACACAAGAGGATGGAGTTGGAGGAACAAAATCCTCAGAAGCGATGTGGACAAATCCTGAAAAGTCACCCCAAGTGCTAGAAAGAACACTTGGCTCTATCCCTCCCCACTTCAAGTAGGGGTCTAAAAGCAAAAACGATTCCCCTTTCTATGTTGGGGGAACAATTTGGATATGAAATCATTCCCTGTCCCAAATCTTTCATTGGCCCCCAGTGAAGAATCTGGGGTTTCCACACAAACCTCCATGTGTTCTAGTCTGTCTGTCTCTCACTGCCCAGTCCTTCCTGAACCTGGGGCCCTTCCGCCTTCCAGAGGGGCCACCTAGAGAAGACAGTTCTTGATCTAGCATGGATGTCAGAGCTGGTGTTACCAGAAAGCTGGGCTCCAGCCACCCAGGCAGTAAATGTAGGGGTAGTAAGGGTAGGTATTGTGCACGGAGATGAGGGAGCCCTGTGGGAAGCCCTCCTCTTTAAGAGCTGGCAAGGAAGAGTGCTTCTCCAGGTTGCCCAGGTCCGAGGTGAGCTGCTTCCGCTTGGTCTTATAGCGTCTGTTCTGGAACCATATTTTCACTTGGGTCTCTGTGAGCTTGAGGTTCTTGGCCAGGTGAGCCCTTTCAGGGGCTGACAGGTACTTCTGATGGCTGAACTTCCTCTCCAACTCAATGACCTGAGTGTGAGAGAAGGCAGCCCGGGAGCGCTTCTGAGGCTGCTTGGTGGCTGGGGGTAGGCTCTGTAAGGCGCTGGGAGGGTTTTCACAGTCCAGCAGATAAGTCTCTAAGTGCCCATCTGGAAAGGAGAGGGGAGAAGCCGGGAGGGGAAGGAAAACGTTACATGGTAGCAGCAAAGAGAACAGAATTCTATTTACCCTCAACTCTTCTGAGTGAACAAACAGCCCACTGTCAGTTTGGATATGCTGCACTAAAGAACTCCTTAGTTCTTACGATCAACCTAGACAGCATATTAAAAAGCAGAGACATTACTTTGTCAACAAAGGTCTCTCTAGTCAAGGCTATGGTTTTTCCCGTAGTCATGTATGGATGTGAGAGTTGAACTATAAAGAAAGCTGAGTGCAGAAGAATTGATGCCTTTGAACTGTGGTGTTGGAGAAGACTCTTGAGAGTCCCTTGGAGTGCAAGGAGATCCAACCAGTCCATCCTAAAGGAGATCAGTCCNGGGAAAGGCTACCCATGCCAGTATTCTGGCCTGGAGGATTCCATGGACTGTATAGTCCGTGGGGTCACAAAGAGTCATACATGACTGACTGACTTTCCCTTCACTTTCCCTCAATGAACCGTTTCTCTCTCTCTCTCTCTCTCTCTCTCTGCACAGTCATGTCCAAACTCTTTGCAACCCCATAGACTGTAGTCAGGCTCCTCTGTCCAGTGGGATTTGCAGTGAGCCACTGCCTTACCTCCTAGGAAGGGTGCCTATTGTATGGTGAGGATGGATACCTAGACTTATTGTGGTGATTACCTTGTAGTGTATACAAAGATCATATTATTATGTTGTACATCTGAAACTAATAACATATTATGTACCAATTTTACCTCAATTAAAAATAACTGATGGGAAAAAAAATAAGTCTACTCTAAATGTTCCCATGAGGTTATATAGCTCCTGGAGACCAGAGGGGCTCCTTGACTTACTAGTTTGTTTTACTTTTGGCGGGGGAGGGGGCTTATGTGGACCATTTTTGAAGTCTTCATCGGAATTGTTACAATATTGTTTCTGTTTTATGTTTTTTTTTTTTTACTGTGATCTTAGCCCGTCTACCAGGGATGGAACCTGTACCCCCTGCGTTGGAAGGTGAAGTCTTAACTGGACCCCCAGGGAAGTCTCCAAGACTTATTGTGTTTTATTGCCCATGGGACTGGGAAGCAAAGGGCATCTTTGCTGATCAAACCCTGACTTATTAATATATTATTTATCAATAACTCGTTATATGTTAGTTATTGTAATCGCCAAGAGATAACTGGGTCTGGTGAGGATCAAGGGTCGAGAGGTGGCTGGTATTGGTGTCGGGGTTTCCATCTGGGACGGGAGCGCGGTGGGCGCTGTGTGCGTGCTCACCTTTTAGCCCTGGGCACCAAGAACCCGCTGCGCGGGGCATTTCTGCGGGGCGAATCAAGTTCATGTCTAAATCCTGCGCAGCCCTGATGCCGGGGCTCAGGGTTAAGCTCCGAGGCTCGCCCGTGGCAGAGGCCATGAAGTCCCTTCGCCTGTCGCCGCGGGGCCCCGCAACCCTGCCGCCGGAGCTCCGGGAGGTCCGCCGAGCACCCGTGGGCCTGCCCATTTTTCCTGGGGGCACCCAACCCGGCCCAGCCCGGCCTCTCCAGCCTCGCCTGCTTACCTGGTTCGGTCTCCACCGGCTTCTCGGCCTCCTCGCTCCCGGCGCGGGGCTGGTCGCTCTGCTGGTCCTCCTGCGCCCTGGCGCCGCCTCTTCCTCCCTCGGACTCCGGCTTCGGGTCTCGCCTCGGGTACTGCTGACGCGAAGGCTGCGGCTGTGGGATGCCCGCGTGACCTCCGCGCCGGTCAGCGCCGTCCCGAAGGATGTCCTGGATGAGGAAGGAGGTGAGTGGCTTGGTCTGGGTGGGCGGCACAGCCGGGGGGCTGCAGCCCGCGGCCCCCGCGTTCCCCGGCCATGGCTCGGGAGTCCGGAGCATCCCAGCGTCTTGGCCCCGGCGCCAGCCCTCAGGCCCTAGATGCAGCGCCGAAGCTGCGCCCGCCGCTCCCGCACCACTTTCACTTTCCGCGGCCCCGCGCACTTATAGCCCTTGGGGCGCGCCGCGCCGCCTTCCCATTGGCCGCGCGCCCGAACCGCGCAGCTGATTGGCCGCCCGGCGCTCCAGGTGAACGAAAAGGGAAGTCCCTCGCACAGTCTCGGTCCAGTCTTTATTTACCATAAAGGATTTCTTTCACAAGTTCCTTCTTTTTCAGGATCCCAGCTTGCTTTACCAGTCTGGGAGAGAAAACCAAAGCGGATCTCCTTTGCTCCAACCCACAATGTGTTTAGCTGCTTCTGGGGAATCATGATGCAGAAGAGAAATACTCTCATTTAGCTCTTAGAGATTGTTAAAGTGACTTTGCGTGCGTGCAGAGTCGTGCAGTCGTGTCCGACTCTTCGTGACCCCATGGACTGCAGCCCGCCAGGCTCCTCTGTCCACGAGGATTCTCCAGGGAAGAATACTGGAGTGGGTTTCCATGTCTTCTTCCAGGGAATCTTCTCAACTCAGGGATGCAGCCCAGGTCTCCCGCATCGCAGGCGGAATCTTTACATTCTGAGCCACTAGGGACCCCAAGAATACTGGAGTGGGTAGCCTATCCCTTCTCCAGGGAATCTTCCCCACCCAGGAATCGAATCGGAGTCTCCTGCATTGCAGGAGGATTCTTCACCAGCTGAGCTACCAGGGAAGTCCAGAGTGCCTTTACTCACAAAGAAGTAGATGGGGCAGTTTCCTTCATCCCACCTTACAGATGAGAATTCTGGGTGCCCGTCAACAAGGAGACATCTACTAAATCTAAGGCTGTCAAAGAGACATGACAGCTAAGTGCAGGACCTGACCCCTGGCTGAATTCTCTCTTGCACTTTATTGGGACAGTCGGTGAAAGTGGTAATAAGACCAATGGCTTAAAGTGCTGAATCAGTGTTACATTTACTGAAATTACTAACAGTACTGTGATTGTATCAAAGAATATTTTTGGGAACTAATCACTAAAGTATGTAGGGGCAAAGACCCATAATGTATGTAACTTACCATCAATTGGTTCAGAACCAATGATATAGATAAATTCCATATGATAAAGTGAATGGTTTAAAAATATTAATTGGTGGAACAGAACACTGTATCGATGTTCTTTTGAACTATTTTTATATAAGCAACTTTTCTGTGGGTCCTAGTCTAAGACACCTTTCATTCAACTTAAAACTTTTCAAGATCATATGTTGTGTGTCTGGGAAGGAGGGAAAGGAAGCAGGTTATCGTGGATAAAGCAACTGCTAAAGAGAACCACACTCTACAATAGGAAGGTCTTTGGCAAAGATAGTTTTCTTTTCTCATTTTTTCATTTAAAAAACTGTTACATTTTTCTTTTGAAATAGTTATAAATTCCTAGGAAGCTTCACAATTAGCACTCCTAATTTCCCCCAGTGGTGACATATAACTGTAGTATAATATTAAAAAACAGGAAATTGACACTGATACACACCATTAACTAGACTACGGACCTTATTTTATTTTCACCATTTAAAAAGCCTGCATTCATGGGTGTGTGTGTTTGTGTCTGTGTGTGTGTAGCTCTATGCAATTTTATCACATGAATAGATTCTTGTAAAGCCAAAATCAAGATACAGATTGTATTTTTCCAAAAAACACCACCATACACGCACACAAAACCTCTGAGATTTAGAATTTTACCAACATTATTACTTATGCATCCTCTTTTACATTAAATATTCATTTTGTCTTTTTCTGTCATACTCAAAATTCTATTTTGACTTTATTATCTGCATATCTTTGTAAATGGTGCAACTTTGTAAATAGTGTTTGTCTTTAATTACATGATAAAAGTTTAAAAAAAAAAAGATATAGAATTGTTCCATCACCACAAAAGTACTCCCTGTGGTATCTCTTTGCTTTTGTGTACCCAATCCCCTTCTCTCCGTAAGGCACCTCTGGTAACACTAATCTACTCTATATAATTTTACTACCAGGAGAATATTCTATAAGTGGAATCAAACATCATACAGCATGTGACCTTATGGAATTGGGTATTTTTTGCTGAGGATGATGCCTCTGAGGCCACTCAGACTCCTGCATGTATTAATAGTCATTTTAAAAATTGCTGAATAGTATTCTATTCAGTATGGATCTGCCAGTTTGTTAATCATCCACTCACTGAAAGACAAATGATTTATGTCCAGGGTTTTTTTGTTTTGTTTTGTTTTGCTCTGTTTTGTTACTTTGAATGAAAGTGTTGTAGACATTCATGTACAGATTTTTGTATAAACATGATTTTTCATTTCTCTCAGATGAATGTTCAGGAATGCAATTGCTGGGCCATATGGTAATTACATGTTTAATTTCGTAAAAACTGCCAAACTATCTTTCAGAGTGGTTGTACCATTTTTTGATTTCCACCAGCAATGTATGAGTTCCACTTTCTCCACATCCTCATCAGCATTTAGTGTTATTGTTATTTCTTATTTTAGCCATTCTAATAAAAAAGAAAGCTGAGCACTGAAGAATTGATGCTTTTGAACTGTGGTGTTGGAGGAGACTCTTGAGAGTCCCTTGGACTGCAAGGAGATCAAACCAGGACAATGCTAAAGGAAATCAGTACTGACTATTCATTGGGAGGACTGATACTGAAGCTGAAAGTCCAATACTTTAGCCACTTGATGCTAAGAACTAACTCATTAGAAAAGGCTCTGATGCTGGGAAAGATTAAAGGCAGAAGGGGACGACAGAGGATAAGGTGGTTGGATGGCATCACTGACTCGATGGACATGAGTTTGAGTAATCTCTGGGGGTTGGTGATAGGAAGGCCTGACGTGCTGCAGTCCATGGGGTCGCAGAGCTGGACATGACTGAGGGACTGAACTGAACTGAATAAGTGTGTAGTAATAGCCCATTGGGATTTTAATTTTTAATTTGTATTTCCCAAATGGCTAGTGATGTTGAAAATCTTTTCATGTACTTTGCCTTACATATTTCCCCTTTGGTGAAATATCTATTCAACTCTTTACACATGTTGTAATTAAATTTGGGGGAGTTGTTGTTGACTTTTGATAGTTTTTTTTTAATGTATTCTATGTATGTCTTTGTTGAATATGTGATTACAATTATTTTCTCCTAGTCTGTAGCTTGTCTTTCCATCTTTTCAACAGGATATTTCATAGAACAAAGGTTCTTTATTTGGTAAATTTTTATTTTACAAATTTTGTTTTTGTAAGCCTAAGAACTTTTATTGTAAGTCTAAGAACAAAGCCTAAGAACTCTTTGCTTATTCCTAAGTCTAAAGATTCACTCCTGTGTTATTGTCTAGAAGCTTTAGGTTTTACTTTTAAATTCATGATTCATTTGACTTATTTTTTGCATATGATATGATATTTAGGTTGAGTGGCCTCTTTTCACTTTTAAAATTTAGAGTGGGGTGGCATTTCAAATCAGTGTGGGGAAATGTAAATTATTTAATAACCAGTACTGCCACTTGGAAAAAATAAAGTTCTATTCTTATAACAAAATAAACCCTAGATGGCTCAAAGATTTAAAACATAAACAGGCACAGGAAAAAAAAATAGTTTAACCACACTCATCATTTTGGATATACAAATCAAAACCACATTTAGATACCTTCTTTCCACCTATCAGATCAATAGAGATTAGAAAGATGGATGATGTCTAGTGTTTGTGGGTGAATGAGGAAGAGTTGCTCCCACACTGTTGAAGAATAAGTCAGTTTTGTATATTTGGATACCAGCTTGGCAAAATCTGTCAGAATTAAAACTGGGCGTATCCTGTGACACAGATATTCCATGCTTTGAGATTTACCCTGTGCTGTGCGGGGCTGGGCTTAGTCACTCAGGCATGTCCAGATCTTTGCAACCCCACGGACTGTAGCCCACCAGGCTCCTCTGGCCACAGGGATTCTCCAGGCGAGAATACTGGAGAAGGTTGCCATGCTCTCCTCCAGGGGATCTTCCCAACACAGAGATGGAACCCAGGTCTCCTGCACTGCAGGCGGATTCTTCACTATCTGAGCCACCAGGAAAGCCCAAGATTTACCCTAAAAATCTACAAATACACAACATACTGACTTGGGAATGTGTCCTTAATTTGGTCGGTGTGAGATTCAACTCGAAAAAAAGTTATAAACTGAACTCATTGTGTAAAAAAAAAAAAAAAGTAGTCACCAGTTATCCATAGAATATTTTACATTTGAGCATTTTAACATTCAGAAAATTCCGGAAGAGTATAAATATCTCAATAAAGCAGTTTCAGTTTCCTCTGGTCAGTGAGATGGAGATAGCAGATTGGGAGAAGAGGAGTAGAACAGAGTGCATTTCCTTGTACTGATTATAATTTTTAAAATTAAAAACTGAGAGCCACAACTGAGCTTGGGCTCCTTTCTTCCATCACCTCTTCCTCAGATATCAGGTGTCCTTTCAGGATGGGGACACAGCCCCAGCACTTTCTTTTACATAGCTTCACATGTGCTCCTTTGGTGCTTAGTATTTCAGATGTTTTCCTTGTTTGTATAGTGATGAGTATCCCTGCCTGTCACGCAGGATACTGAGGTTCGATTCCCCAACAAGGAGGCGGGAACTTCCCTGGTGGTGCAGTGGTAAAGAATCTGCCTGCCAATTCAGGAGACGTGAGTTCAGTCCCTGGGGCAGGAAGGTCGGTCCCCTGGAGAAGGAAACGGCTGCGCGCTCCAGTATTCTGGCCTGGGAAATCCCCTCCTTGCTGTCGGTGCAGCTTAAACTGAGTGAAAATGTCAGGCCTAGGAAGGCACAAGGCACTGTTGTAGGCTTCTTTTGATGGAATGGAGTTCTGGAGAAGAAGAAGCACCCCCCTTCCAAGATGCCTTGATTGCAACACCTGCAAATGGCACGGGTGAGTTAAGTTGCAGATGGAATTCATGTTGCTGACCATCTGACCTT